TTAGACTTCTAAATACTTCTATAGAAAGTACCATAGACTTCTGTAATCTTTATTATAGTATAAATAGGAATCTTTGGAATCACTTTTGCTATCAATTTCATTCTTTTTCTTTAATCTTGACATATTTTTTTGACAGATTCTTGTATCCTTGACAATTCTTTGAACAACTATGAGATCCATTTTCTACTCTCTCCAAGACAACATCATCTTTGCTTCTCTTCATTTTCAAAAATCTTATGGCCAAATTGCTTTTGAACTTGGCTGTAGTAAAGCTATTTTTTCTAGGCTGGCAAAAAAGATCACTTTTAATAGGAAGAATCTTAAATTAGGTAAATCAAAGAAGCTCATTGTAATAGATAAAAGAACAATCATTTGCCAAATCAACATTGGAAAGGCTAAAACTATTGTTGAAGTTGCTAAAAATCTTAACAATATTATCAATAATCTTGTGTCAACCCAAATCATTTGAAATATTTTCAAGAAATGAAATATGAAAGCCATAGTGAAGGAGAAAAAAAAACCTCTAATATTTACTTGCGATTAGAAATAATGCTTAGATTTTACTCTAAAATACAAAGAATAGACTATGGAAAATTGGAAGGAGGTTATTTAGTCAGATGAGACAAAAATCAACAGATTTAGGTTAAATGGCAAAAATTGGATATATAAACAAAAAGATCAGTTCTGACTTGAGAAGAAGATCCAAAAAATAGTTAAACATGGAGATAGAAATATAATCATATATAGTTGTATAGAATGGAATAGGATTGAGAGGATAGCAGAGATGTAGAGGATGGATGCTAAGAAATTTATGAAAATTCTTGAAAAAAACCTACTTCTTAGTATTAAAGAATCTGATATTTTTGAGGAGGTGATTTTTTAGCAAGATAACAACTCTAAGCATAACTCAAAACTAGCATGGAAGTAGTTTGATCATCATAGGATTAAAGTAATGGATTGGCTTGCTTAGTTTCTTGATTTTAATTCCATTTAACATCTTTGGAAGCATCTCAAACCCCAACTCAACATTTGGAAGATAAAACTAAAGAAAATTTGGAAATTATGAAAAAGAATAGTTGTGCAATAGAATAATATTGAAGCAATTTTGTGCCAAAAGTTAATAGAAAGTATACCTAGAAGATTGGAAGTAGTTATCAAGGCCAAAAGAGGTCCTTCAAAGTATTGATATGTAATTGGATACCACATTCAAAAAAAAAAAAAAAAAAAAAAAAAATCAATACTATTTCAAATTGGATTGGTCATAGCTCTACAATTACCTAATGGATTCTTTTTAATTTGTGCTCATTTGGTAGCTATAAAAAGAATATTTTATTTGCTATACAAACCATATGTCACTATTCACTACAATTCATTTATAATACACCATTTTTTTTTTAAATATGTCAATATTGAAATAATTTTTAAAATCATATATATATATATATATATATACAAAAATTCATTTAATTAGGATATATTTAATATATAATAGAATTTTTATTATTATATTATATTTTTATTTTTTATAATTGTCATGAGTTGGTGGTATTATTATTATGGCCTATTAAAGCCATTGTATAGCCTAATAATATAAGTGTCTCAAAATCATTTGGACTTTGGTAGCAGAGTAATATATAATTTTCATAAACATGATTTTGTCATTGAATTATAATTTTGTACTATAAGGTTTCAAATCTAACATTTATATTATTATTTAATTTTTTAAAATCTTCTTTTTTTTAAAAGTAGAACACATTGGTTTTTGGAATTTTATTTTAATTAAAAGATGTTTTAGATGCTTTTAGTTATAAATTAATACCGGAAAAAAAAATTGGTAATAGTTTTTTTTTTGTAATGGCCCACAATAAGGTAGTACTTGTAATATTTCAACTTAAAATTCTTTTTATTTAGCTATTTTTTAGATGTTGAATACTACTGGATGGGTTACATTTTACTTGCATTGAAAATATATTATTCTATGGCAAGAAAATATAGCTCAATTTAATGAGTCTTCTTCATATTTAATGGAATAGTTAAGAGATTATTTTTGGTTAAATTCTTCACAACTTATTAATAGATATAATTCTTATGGTATGAGTAGTTTATCTATAAAGGCTTCGATGTTCTTATTTGGATGTCTTGTTTGGGTTTATGTTTCTAATTTCTTGGCATGGTTATTGGCAAGAGCTTATTGAAACTTTAGCTTGGGCTTGTGAACGTACACCTTTATCTAATTTAGTTCATTGGAAAGACAAACCAGTAGCTCTTTCTATTGTTCAAGTACAATTAGTTGGGTTAGCTCATTTCTCAATTGGTTATATATTCACTTATGCAGCTTTCTTAATTGCTTCTACATGACATAAATTTAACTAAAAATTATTTTTTTTAATGAAAAAAATGAATAATTTTTTTTAGAATTAAATCCAAAAACTTATCTTAGTTTTATTTAACATAAAATAAAATAAAAATAATTATATTATATATTTTAGTTTACCTCATCCCTATTTTGTTCTTTCTTATTTTTGGTTTTTTAAAGTACATATTACTTTGATTTTATATGCTTCAATAATCTTACTAATTTATTCAATGATAATTTACTTTGCAATATATAACATGCTCAAGTGCTAAAAAAATGTATTGTTAACTATGCATACAGATAAAGACAAAAGACAATATCTTTTCTTTTCTTTTCTTCTTTGAATGAAATAAGTAAATATATATTGGGACAATTACTACAGTAAGTTGAAAAGTAACAGACTACAATGTACTTGTCCTTTTTTTTTAATTTTCTAACAACAACATGGATTCTTCTTTATATGTAAAGAATAAACGTATGAAAATATCTACAACTCACAATTTATTTTGTTAGAAATTCTCATTACATAGTTAACCTTGATTTATTCATAATTTCAAGCCAGAAATTATAGCATAGATGTCAAGGATTTTTCCAAATTCTCTTTATGTACTAAATTTTAATTTGATTCCAAATACTATGATAATATGTGCTACACTATGTGATTCCAACGCTATTATAATATGGTCATAATAATATGTGCTACTATTCACAACATTTTTATGCTTTTCTTTTATGATATTTATATTTTATTGATGATAACAACCACAAATTGAATTTCACAACCATGCATACATGATTAATTAAGTGGGTCCATTATTTTATATGCAATGCATAACTCTAACACCAAGCCACACACATGCAAATCATAGGACTTTTGTCAAATTGTATACATGCAACTGATAAAACTTTTTGGGGTTTGTTTTCTCTTATTTACCATTTTTTATTTTATTGGTATTATTTTGATTACTATATTATGTGACGGGTCAAGTAGAACTTTGGTTGAAGTCAAGATGCAAAAGAATGAAGAATCATTTGAAGTGTTGGATTAACAAGATGCCAGAAAAAAAGCACAATATTTCTATAGTGTTTTGATCAAATGGTGGATGCTCCAGGATCACATGATTCCCATTTATCATGCCCTTCAGTCACTATTTTTGACTCTGGCAACATGTCCATCCAAAGCCCTGCTGTTTTGTTTTACAGGATCCAAGTATTCAACACACACAAGAAGGAACCCAATTTTTATTCTTTTTGAAATATATTTTTAGTTCCTACTTATGTCTTTTCCTTCTTTTTGACAAATCAGAAACTTCAGGACTCATTTCTACTCATTTTAGAACATCATTTGTGAGTTCTAATGATTTGTTTTGGAAGAACAGGACCAAAAGGAAACAAAATTCAAAATGCTAAATAACAGATCATGGAAGAGTGAGAATAAGAAAAACCTTACACAGTTAACAATGCGGAAGTACATTTCCCTTTTTGTTAAGGCATTCTTGTTATTTCTGTTACTATTCATTGCACATGAAGTAAGCTTTTAGTTTTATATTTTTATATTCTTTTGACATGGTGAGATGAACCCATCACATTAGATTAGGTTAGGAGCAGTAATAACTCAATTTATGCACTTATACACATGTTTCAGATCAGGCACAAGATGACTTATTTAGTATCTGTTGTAAACCCTATTTCACCCAGAGTGAGTTTAAAGCTGGTTGTAGAACCTACCTAGAGTTTGCAACTTGTAATGACCCAAACTGTTGAAACCTCTTGTTGAGAATGGCTAGACATCATATCAAGCTATGAGAATGTATCATATTCCCTGGCTGTAGGAGTGGACTTGTTCATGTTACAGTGAATCTCAAGTCAAACTTGCTTAAAATAGAAAAGTACCAAAGTAATTTATAATAATCACTTAATTAAGGCATCAGATTTACAAAAATGGAGCTCTACGAATCAGGATGTCAAAATTGTGACTGATCAGATGTGCAGCCATGAAGGGTTGACTTTGACATGGTCCCACAAGATTGCTTGTGGGTTGAGGGTTGCTTTAGAAAATTATATATATATATATATATATATATATATATTACTTGACCTGTTATAAAAATAAAAAAAGAAACCAGGCGATATGCATCGTTTGTTTTTGTAGACTTCATTTCGTGGCATGAACTAACAAAGAGAGAGAATTGGCTCGAATCCAGCTACCATATTTTTTGATACAATCAGCATGATGTAAGTTATTGTCGAAAGCCTTGGAACTTGCACATGAGATATTTGCAAGCCCCTTGGAACTAGTGAAAAAGGGGGAGAATTCATGGTGGCCCTTTCTCAACGCGCTAAAATACGTTAAGAAAAACAGATGTTGTGTCTCAGGGCAGAGACTTGGAATCGACCAAAAAGCGATGGACCTCCACCTCGCGGCTTGCATCGATCACAGACTACCACCCACCGAGTCTCTGGGATACGTATGCAGTCGCAGCTCCTCGACTTCATAGTGACGCAGATTGCGAGCTACCCGTTGCGGAAAGCTGCTGAGGAGCCTCTTTCCTGGACCCCACCTGCGGAAACACCTCTTCACGCTACCAAGAGCATTTCCGTCGTGTTTCTGATCAATATGGTTGCAGCAGTCCCGACTCGCCACTACGTCGACGCGGGATGGGATTGACTCTCACCTGTAGTCTCATCATCGATCGTCGGCTGTCTGGAAACTGGATAGTCTAGATCCGATCGCATTAGTCTTCTCAATTTCGCCGCTAGACCAGTGACCGATGCGGCCTGATTCTCGGAATTATATGGTTCGCCCCACGCTCGCTAATTCCCTGTGGCACTGTTCCCCAGACTCCTCCTCCTCTTCGCTGCTCCAGGATGTTTAGTCTCCAGGGTGTTTAATCTCCTACAGGCACCGTTTTGTCGCACGTCAACGCTGTCACTTGGACCGTTTCATGTGGAGAAGCGCACGAGGGCAAAGAAACCCTTTGGCCATTTGATCTCGTGAGTAGACGAAATAATTGATCCGTTTCTGATGAAAGCATAAAATCCTTTCACCATCGAAATATCTCAACGTCGGAGAGGGGTTAGTGACAGATGTTAGTCTTCAAGAAACTGTTTCAAAGGGTGCGTGGTTGGATCTGCATGTGGGTTTGACCTTAGTGAACTAGCTCCTCAATTATTGTGATTCCTTCCCCCTAGTTGTAGGTTGTTCGCAGATTGATTGCAACTGAGAAGGTGGCATGCTCTGATAATCGGAATCAAGTTGATTAATTATTGACTTAAATGGTACCTGTCTTTTGAGAACGTCTTCTTAAGCCCCATGGAATTATGATAGCACTCTGTAGGTGCAAGTTTTCTTAACAAAATACGACTCGGACGAGTTGATGACCATCAAAGATTTCGGTGGAGCACAGAGGAGGGTTGCAAAGCTTGGAGTTGGCGAAGCGAACATGAAGACTACAGCCATGAAAGGCCGCACCATGCACAAGACGATGTACAACTCTCGGTTAACTATCTTGTGTGGCCTTGTGACAATTCTCGTCTTGCGGGGCACTATCGGCAGCAGCGGTGTCGACAAGTCACCCCAATTCTTGCGCACCAACATGAACGTGAACGTGGACTTGGTGAGAAAGACCGTTGTGGTTGAAGAGGAGAAGGAAGTCGAATGGGACCCAAGTATTCCCTTCAGCCTGGGACCGAAAATCACCAGCTGGGACGAGCAACGCGTGCTGTGGAATAAGAAGAATCCTGGCGCGGCGAAGACCCTCGACGGAAAGGACCGGATGCTGCTGGTCACGGGATCTCAGCCCACGAAGTGCGACAACCCCATGGGTAGTTTCCAGCTGCTCAAGGCGCTGAAGAACAAGATGGATTACTGCAGGCTGCATGATATCGAAATTTTCTACAACATGGCGCACTTGGATGTGGAGCTGGCAGGCTTCTGGGCAAAGCTGCCGTTGCTGAGGAAGCTCATGCTGGGGCACCCGGAAGTGGAGTGGATATGGTGGATGGACTCCGACGCCCTCTTCACCGACATGACCTTCGAGATTCCGATTGAGAAGTACAAGGGGTACAACATGGTGCTTCACGGCAATGAAAAGGATGTCTATGAGAAAAAGAGCTGGTTGGGACTGAACACGGGCAGCTTCCTCATGCGTAACTGCCAGTGGTCGCTCGACCTTCTGGAGATTTGGGCGATTATGGGCCCCAAGGGTGCGGTGCGAATGGAAGCAGGTAAACTGCTCACTGCTTCACTTAGCGAACGCCCCGCATTCGAAGCTGATGATCAGAGCGCGCTGGTGTATTTGTTGGCGACACAGAGGAAACAGTGGTCACCGAAGGTGTATTTAGAGAACAACTATTGTCTTCATGGTTATTGGGTTATGATTACGGAGCGCTACGAGGAATTAATGGCGAGGGGGAGGCCTGGTGCCGTTGGAGGAGAATTCCAGTGGCCATTCGTGACACACTTCGTGGGGTGCAAGCCATGCGGTAAGGGGGGCAGCAGCAGCTACGGCACGGATCGTTGCCTCGCACACATGGAACGTGCTTTCAACTTCGCTGATAACCAAATTCTCAATAAGTATGGCTTTAGGCACAAGACGCTCAACACGTATAACGTCCGTCGCGTACGGAACGACACGGCTGATCCCCTCGGACTCAAGCACCTTGTACTATGATTATCTTCAGTTTTATGACTCGAATGAATCTGTGGACTTGGTGGCGCACATGCATAGCGGTAAGCAATTATCTAGTGATCAGAGAGCCTGAACGGTGACAGAATCCTTCGATCAGCTACCTCGAATTCAGCACCTGGGAAATTACTTCTGCAACTGCTCCAGAGAATGAGTTGTCTAACGCAATGGATGAGTAGGCTTTAAAAGCGTAATCTCAAAGTGATGGTGACTGCGTGCGAACTAGTCATCAACTGGAATAAGAAACAGTGGAAGTCTTCGCTGTTCAAGACGTAATTGGTCTGCGGATTACGAAGATCTTCACTAAATTTGGAGTTGCGGAGTCCGCATGAGTGTTTCTTCCCGTATGTTGTCGATAGGAGTGTACAGGAAGGATTATGGAGGACAGATTCATTACCAAAGCATTCTTGAGCTCCTCTTAATCAGGTGTATATTCTCGTACAACTTGTGTGGTTCTTGAAAACATTTCGGTAGTTCAAGAGAAGCTAATCCTACCCCTGCTATTGGAGTTGGGAGTTTCGTACTGCTGTTCATAGAAGTTCTGTTCTATCCTTCAAATTAGGGTGTAGGGTTGCCCAAGAGAGCGTACCGTCGTTTTAGTTGCCGGCTACGTGGAATTTATGGTCTAATTTGCTGATGCTGCATATGGACTGGAAAGAAAACCAATTTAAACACAAAATATTGCAACTTTCAAAATCAGTAAAACTATGCCATCGGAGAAATTTCTTGCCTCTCTTCTGCTCATGGATCAGGATCACGATAGGTTATGTCTCCGAAAATCTCTTAACATTGTTACGTAGTTTTGCAAAAGCACTGAGAAGATAGATGACCACGCTGTGAGTGATATACATGAGGACATTTAGTTTTGACGACGCCGTCTCTTGCAAATACTAAGTGGAAGTCGGAGCTGGTGGACTCATGTATTTACGGCGGGAACTGAGAAGGCACACCGCCATGGACCGAAAACTCAATCATCATAGAACAATTCTGCAGTGTCTACGGGGGTACAAACATTGCCGAACATCTCAGTCGAAAACCGAGGATGAATCTGGGAGATGCAGCAGATTGCAGAGAATCCCATTATTGCTAAAAGTATGCAGCTCTGCTCATCATAATGGAAGGATTTGGTATCTTGTAAAGTTCTGCAATAGTATTTGAAACTGAAGTTGACACCTAATTTTGTATCAGTATCCTAGATTTCACTCGCCATTATTTTGGTAATATTGAAGGAACTCCCCTGCCGACAGTCGCGTTTCTGTTTTGCACCAGATTTTTTCGAAAGAAGTTTGAGATATCTGTCAGCAATCTCGGAATCATTCCTCCACACTTTCGAATGATTCAACCAGAATTACCTTCGACACAAATTTGAAAGCTGGTGACAGTCTAGTCCATAATAACTGCCCCTTCACAATGACGTGCTTCTACAGATAAGTGCAATAATAGCTCCGTTATTACAACCTAAACAGAATAATACTAAGTGACAAACGATCAGGGTAATAGTGTAAATAGAATATTTGTACTTTGAGACCATGTTTCAATACTTTATGCAGTTTATGAGAGTGATGATTTTTACGTAATACTTAATCAAGAATGGGGCACTCAAACTTAACCCATGGGTTTGTGCAACACCAGCTTGCCCTTCTAGCTGCTCAGTTCTTAAGTATATTCCTCTCTCTCCCTCTGCTTCCGCTGCTGTTCCTGGAGCCACATAGTTACCATTTGACAAGTTCGGTGTTGCCACATTTCTATCACCGTAATTCACCAATTTTTCATGCTGCAGCAGCTGAGTTGATGAACCCTATTACGGTGCCACTTGCTTCAGAGGTTGCTGCTGGCCCTTCATCCCCCCTTGCGGAGTCTTCCTAATGTCGCCCTCGCAAAGCACCTGGTTGCTTTACTCCAACTTCCTCCTTCCTCGATTTGTATTTTTACTTCAATTCCTGCAGAACGTGATCAGTTGTGAAACAAGGTGAAATTTAGGGCAGATTGAGTCTCATTCAGTAGCAAAATATTAATGAAGAACATTTATTTTACAGAAAGATTTATATCGATTTCAGTTGAGAGGAGAGATCATAGCAACTTATTAGGGTATCTGGAGTTATCACGAGCCAGTGAGGTGATTGTGAGAACAACTCTTTTGCTGAATATTTTTGTATTGCTAAGATCATGGGCAATTGCCTGGAGGGTATAACAACTCATTGTCAGCATGGGATGACACAGAATGGCAAGCCAAGACTTCGAGCAATTACTGCATCAAGAGGTGGAGTTAAACGACCAAACAGACATGAATGCAAACAAGTCAACTATATTGTTTCATTCCTCAAAGGTGGGCGGCAGCAAATTTCGAAAGAGGAACGAGCAGTCACGAATGGCCAGTAAATCAAAGCCAAAGTTAATGTATGAGCAACGACATGAGAACACTAAAGAGTAAAAGAATGACCCTTGATGACTGAATTCTGGTGAAACAGTGCAATGGATACGTAATTGCCCAAGTGGCTGTCAGAAGTAACACTCTCTTAGCTTCTTGTAGACTGTGACGTAATTGTCACCTTGACATCATCACGCAATGGTGTAATGTAATCCTTACTTAACTTGCCAGTTGCTTTAGTGACCCCCCATTTGTCATAGAGACATCAAGTAGTTAAGGTCCACAATTAGAATTATAAACTCATGCACATAAATGGGGCTTCTTCTTTGGTTAAATCACTAATTATATTGTTTCATCAAAGTATTACAAATTTCATGGCATCAAAATAAGCATAGTGAGTTTTGCTTCTATATGCTTAGAATGCTACCATAAGTCTAAATAGGATTTTTTTTTTGGAGTGAATTCTAGTTCTACACCATGGCAAAAGACAATTGTTTAATGTCTATTGGTAAAAGAAACAAGCTAATTGGAGAAGCTAACTATCATATCTAGAAACTTAAGATAAAAGCACCTCTAAAGACACATGATTTATAGAAGGTGAGAGAGGCAAAGATAGAACCAATAGTGTATCTAATGAAGGTAAATGAAGTTGATCTCAATCACCTCACATTGCAAAAAATATGGAATATAGCATGAGTGCCATTATATTGTTAATAAGCAATGATTTGATTGATATAATAATAGAATATAAAGATTCAACAAATGTTTGGCAAATGCTAGAGTAAAACTTTCAATATAGAGATCTTCACAAGTTTTGATGCTAATAAGTTAATTATATGCATTTTGCATGAATTAAGGTGGCTTAATTGTTAATTATATCAAGAAGATACATGAAATAAAGAATAAGCTAGTAGCCATAGGAGAAAGCATACTTGACATGACTTTAGTACAAATTATGCTGAAAAAAATATTGCACTCATATAAAAGAATATTTCAAAGAATTACATCCATAGAAGCCTTGCCAATGTTTGAGTAAGTTGCTATCTCCAGGCTTAACTATTTTTTGGATCTTCTTGACAAGGAAGAACTGACTATTTTGTTTCTACACCCACTTTCTGCCATGAGACCCAAATCTATTGATTTTTGTCTCATTTGATCAAATAACCCTCTTCAAATTTTCCATAGTCCATTCCTTATACTTCACAGCAAAATCCAAGCATTATTTCTAATGGCGAGTAGATAGTAGAGTTTTTTTTTTTTTTTTTTTCTTCACCACAGCTTTCATATTCCATTTCTTGAAAACATTTCAAATGGTTTGGGTTGACACAAGATCATTGATAATATTATTAAGGTTTTTAGCAACATCAACAGCATTTTTTGACTTTCCAATTGTTGATCTAGCAAATGATTATCCTTTCATTTATTACAATGAGTTTTTTTGGTTTACCTAATTTAAGGTTCTTCCTATTAAAAGTGATCTTTTTTGCTAGTGTGGAAAAAATAGCTTTACTATAGCCAAGTTCAAGAGTAATTTGGCCATAAGATTTTTGATAATGAAGAAGAATAGAGGTGATATTGTCTTTGAGAGAGGGAAAAATAGGTCTCATAGTTATTCAAGGAATTATCAAGGATATAAGAATCTCACAAAAAAGTATGTCAAGATTAAAAAAAAAAAGAATGAAATTGATAGCAAAAGTGGTTCAAAAGACTCCTATTTATACTATAATAAAGGTTACAGAAGTCTATGGTACTTTCTATAGAAGTTTTTAGAAGTCTAAAGAAGCTTCTAGAAGCCTATGGAACATTCTAAAAGATTGTGGAAGATTCTACAAGTATCTAGAAGATTCTAGAAGGTCCTAGAATGTAGTAATTTGGAATATATCTGTATTAGAAATTGTGATTAAGAATAGTACTTTTATAGCTACTAGCAAGCATTAATGATGTCATTAGATCAATAATAATATTGTCATAATAAATTTGATGATAATAGAATGTTATAATGTTGAGTAATTGATAGAATCCAAAAATTAGACACCACATTCAAAAAAAAAATTTAATACTACTCCAAATTAGATTGGTCATAGCTCTGTAATTATTTAATGGATTCTTTTCAACCTAGACTTATTTGGTAGCTAATAAAGAAGTACTTTATTTGCTATACAAACCATGCATCATTATTCACTACAATTCATCTATAATACATCATTCTTTTCAAAATATGTCAACATTGAAACAATTTTTTGAGTCATTGTATATATATAGATTCTAAAACTTCTTGCATCTTAATAATAAAAAAATGAAAACCTATTTTTAATTTTTAATTTTAAAAAATACAATAGTATTTGATATATATATATATATATATATATATATAATTTTTTTTAAATGTCATATTACAATATGTCTCCACTTACAATAACTTTATATGCTTGTTATGTGATAGGAAATTATATACAACCTAATAACATCTTATTCTTAATTTTTATTGACTATTAATGTAAAGAAACATCATTGCATTATTACTACAACTAAAGCTATGACTAAATAATAACCAAGTTTGATTTTATTTAATTTTATTAATTTATGAACCTTATACTCTTCCATGAATCCAATGAAATTACAGTAATTTTGACTAACAGAAAAAAAATCTAATAAAACATATTAAAGTAAAATTATTTTTAAATATATATATATATATATATATATATATATATATAATTCCATGTTATGCTTTTTTAAATTATTATAAATATTAATTTGTGAAATAAATTTGATGTTATATTTCTAATATGCATGTTTTTTTCTTTTTCTTTTTCTTTTTTAGTTTTTACAATGATTCCTCTAATAATCACATAATTCAATAATACAATATAATTCTCGGAACTAAAATTATACTGAAATCGTAATAATTTTTGAAATTTTTAAAAAATAATAAACTTTAAATTTTATAATTTTTCACTTTATGAACATAAAAAGCTTATCATAATTAATCTATATTACAATCTTGTGCCTCAATAGAAGTTGTACTATAAATGTATATATATACATATTTAATAAGAAAAAATAATTATATTCTTATTATTATTTTATTTCCAAAATCAAAAAATTCTTTTAAACCATTTAAGTTACAGCATCTGTTTTGCACTTAAATATGATAGTAACTGTGTAGACATTTTTACTACTGGATCTTAAATGAAACTACTATAATAAATAGCTATGAAGTGTCTTAAATTTATGTATTTTTTAAATAGGTTAGAATAAACTTAATACATTTGTTGTAATTACATAAAGTTAAAATATTATGAAAACCATATTGTTAAAAGAATCTTTAAAGATGATATTTCAATTTCAATAGAAATTAATTTTATAAATTATCAGCCGTATTGTTTGAATTGAATTATTATTTGTCAGTGTTTACAAGATTCATATGTAACATACTTTTAAAACATTTCTAAATATATCTATTGTATTTAAAGACATTGAAGAATTATAAGAAAATATAGGATATTTCATGAATATTTGGATTTAAATCATAAATGTTTTAAAACTTAAAAACATAAAATGAAAATTAAAAAATATGTAATTGTGGATAATGAAATAACTTTCAAAATGACAAAGGTGAAGGAATCAAAAAGTAAAAAAAAACAATCACAAATATATATATATATATATATATATGTTGTTTATAAATTTATTTATTTGTTTGTGTAATTATATATATATATATATATATATATATATTTCAAATATCCCAAATTATTTCCTTTTATGAAAGTTAATACCCATGTTTATATATAATTTTGTTAAAGACTTTATATTTTAAATAAAACCATTTTAATGTTAAAATTTTAAATTACCAAAGAGATCTCTAAAATACTAATTATTTTTGCAATTTTAAGGTTAACTATTAAATTTTAAACATACCTGTTTTATATTCTCTTACAAAAATATCACATATTTTCATTAGTATAATATTTTATATTTCTAAATATTGTTTAGTAATTTAAACTGAAATTCCAACTGCCTTATTTAAGGCTAACATGGATTTTACTTATGACCAAAGCAACTTTCATATATGAATTCTTTTTGGTCCAATTGTGCAATGAGTCATTATTACATTTGATTGAACAAAATTACTATGTTGCATTAAAAAAATTCCTCTAATTTATATATATATATATATATATATATATTTTAATGTCTTATTCAGATATTTACACACAACATTTAATTTTAATTTCTGAAGTTTCTCATATTTTCCAAATGAACATGTAAATTTCACATCAAAAATGTGTAAACCATTGTTGCTATTGACACTCTTCAATTTCTTCACAACACCTTTTTGAAAGAGTAATAATGGGCTCTAACAAACAAATTCCTACATTGTGCCAAGTTTCTAGTGTCCTTGTTCTCAACTACGTTGTGCCAAGAAATCACTACTTTTTACCTACCTCCAAATAAGGTCACCTTTTAACATTCTAATATTTTTTAAAAAGAAATAAAATACAGATTACTTGTCCTTGTCCTACCTCCCTAAATCCCAATTGTCACTCTTGGGTATCTATCACACAACATACAATTAATATGTATACATATATATATATATATATATATATATATGTTTGCTGTTGCTTTTTAAAAGGAATTTGTGAAAAGTCGAACCAATCATGATTTCACATACAAGGCATTTTAGGGGACACTACTCCTTGAGCTCTAAACAAACCTCCAACAAGGAATCCAAAGTTAAAACCTCTGCATGTGAACAGTTTGCATGACTGCATAGAGCTTTCTAAATGTTCATGTCAGTGGGTAGAAAAGACAAGCAGTGATAGAAGCAGATTCAGCTGCGCAGACCGATTCTTTGCAGTGTGTTCGATATCAGCAACCAAGTAAAAATTAATTTGTCTGAAAGGCAAAGTGTTGATTACACATTACTGGGTCTAGTGTGAGTTGTCAACTATGTTCTATTCAGCTAGAGCTTTACGAAAAACCTTCACAAACATGCTATCAGATTCGGCACATATTGCGGTTTTTCGAAGAGCCTGGTTTACATATTTTTTAAAAATTTCGGGCCCATCTGAGAAATGTTTCGATACGTCGGTTTTGTGAGATCGCAAGAAACGATTTCTGTTAGGAACGGAGTTCGAGAGTGGATTGAGGGGTCGGGAATTGGGCTACAGTGCACCTTCAAATGCATTTGCACGCAGAACAAGGTCTTTCGTGTTAATTTATTCCCAGAAAATTAAATTGGAAAATGAATATTCATATTCAGGCGGAACAATGGGATCTTAGAAAAGTAGTGGGCGAGGAAACGTCCGCGTTACGGCAAGGAAAAACATAGTTACTGCATAGTTCCTTGCCGTAGCATGGAAAAGGAGAGATGATTGGGCGTGGACCACCGCGCAAGATCGTTACCCCCTTTTCTCGTCTCGCTCACTGTGCACTCAATGATCCATTCGACCCAAATTTTTAGGGCTTGTACTGCTTTTTTAAGAACCATGTACAGGTTGACGCCACTATAGACTAAACGAACATTGCATGATTTGGAGAGTGAGATTCTAAAACGTATCCCTTCTGCAAGATTTAAAATTCAAGATCAATGTGATGATTGTTATTAGATGATCAATTTGACCACCGCGGTTGTGTGTCGATAAGACACACAAAAGAATGATAAAGAATGGTTCCTGTATACACCCTAGCACATATCGATGTCACTCAACATTGAAACTCTTCCGAAAGGCGGTGCAAACCCTACAATAATTTATATGCTACAATCTCGTCAGGAGATCAGTTGAGTCGCAGATCAGTACAAGAGGTATGCGGCGAGTCCGACGAAGAGGGCTGCAAAGCTTGGGACAGTGTTGCTTGCACCAGACTCCATTGGGTTAGGACCAGGAGCAGGCGAATCCACGGAAGGGCCAGGAGACATGGATGGGGATCCCATGGGGCTCGTCTCGGGAGCGGGAGCTGCATCAGAACAAGAGCACACGTCTGCTATGTAAGCTACAAAACCACTCACAATACTGGTGTATCCAAATCACCTTCACCAAATTTAACCACGCCAAATACAAAACAATAGAAATAAAAAAATAAAAAATGCACAGATCCGAAGCAGGAATCAGGAATACGCACCAGCAGGTGGCACTTCGGGAGCGGCATTGGAAGGACCTTCAGAAGGAGTCATGGGAGCCATAGCAGGAGCGTACTCGGGAGACCCTGGAGGAGACATTTCGGGTGCATACTCGGGGGAAGCCACGGGAGCCCATTGAGGAGCATACACGCCACCCACAGACGATTCCGGGGCATTCATTATCACACCCTGAGCGCCGGCTTGAACAAAGAGAGCCACCATACAAATTGCTGCAGCAGCAGCCCAGATACCATTTCGGCGAGCAGACACGGCCATTGTAACTCTAAATCGTCTCGAAGAAACAAAAGGGTGCAACAATACTCAGCGTTCAGCAACACTGAAAACTATCACAGTGAACGAGCTCGAATGCTCACAGAACTCAGTTAGACACAAATCGCAAGCACTAGTTGAGGTGAACAAGCTATGACAAGACACTAAGTGGGATTTCGTTGAGCTAAGCTGAGCTGCACAAGGCAAGCCAGATGCACAATCCACCTGAAGCGCCGCGTGAGTTGACACTCTGATCCGCAGCTTCTGACCTGATTCTGAAAGCTCCATCGAATTATTATAAATTCTTTCAGGTGGGCGGAGGTGAGTGCCTGGAACAGATTTGTTTCAGGTCCAGGCTGTGCACATGGGCTCGATGTCGCGCCATCAGTGCCGAGGTGGGCGCGGGCACCTCCTTCTTCATCGCGAGCGATTCTGCCCTTCTCCCAACTCGTCACACCCCCGCAACGTGATAGTTCGTCCCGTGTCAGCACATGCCACGTCGGAAATTATGCCATGTGTGTGTCTCTGTGTTTGTGTTTTTCTTATAATTTTGAACGAATTCGTCCATGAATTATCAAAACTATGTTTTGGTGTGCTAATTTAGTGAGTAATGGATTGGCCATGTGGATGTGAAAGCTGTCTTGTATGTTTGCTAAGTCGCCACTCCAAGAGCAATATTAACAACCAATATTTTAACAAATTGTGGGAAACTAAAAGGAATGATCACCAATAAATTGCGAATTAGTTTTGCTGATGCTATCACATTTTTTTTGCTATTTCCACCACAATTTATAATCTACCACATGTTGCCACCATTTTTGCCATTGTTATTATAACTTATTCTTATTAAAATTTTAATTATTTTTAGTTAAAATAAAAAATGAATTTTCATGTATTTTGAAAAAGAAAGAAAGAAGAAAAAATATTAGAAATATCAAAAAAAAATATTGGAATAAAAAATACTAAATAAATATGTCAAATAGATGGTAATAATAAGAATTATGATAACATTAACAATAACTATTTTAAATACTATCAACTTTGAATGGATTGATATCAAGGGCATATAATGTAAATAAATAAAATAAGATAGGTTTTAAAGAAAATTAAAAAAACTATATATATACACATATATATATATATATATATATATATTCAAGAAAAAATTCAAATAATTATTATTAAAGACAAAAAGACTACAGATTCTTGAAACTAGATTGGAAACAAGAAAGGATTCAATAAGAGTGAGAAAGGCCTCACTCTTGTCTCTATATATATTATCTAAGGAATTCTATAATTTTATTCTATAAATCATCTAACATATGTCCAACTTATTATTTAAGTTTTCAACTTATCAATTATCCACAAATACTTATAAAATCAAATCTATATCTATAAAACTTTTAAGAAGCTACTCACTAAGATAATATCAAATTAACTTATTTTTATGTGCTTCTATTATCCTCTTTTTATTCTTATAATTAATAATATAAATATTGATATTTGTGATATTATTTCTCTTTTTGGAAATAAGTTCTATGCATGGATTTGATCACATATTGAAAAAATTTAAGATGCGGTAAATTTTAATTGTTATATATTTGAATCATTATTTCCTTTGAAGTTTGTTAATATGTTGTTTTAACTATTCATAAAGTTTTATATTAAGATAATAAGACCACTAAGTTATTTGATTATTATTGACACATTCATAACATCCTTCAAATAAAATATTAAGAACACCATTAAGATTGATTTCTACCTCTAATAGTATTATCAAATATCAAAAGTCTCTTTTGAGGTTGTGATAGTAGACATATTATATCTTACCATCCATTCAACAAAGAATAAGTTTTTCATAATTTTTTTATTTCTACTATGTTATTTTGAAGGCTATGAAAATTTCAATGATTTTTCTTGTAACTCAATAAACAATAGTTCTTGAGTTGATTCTATGGATATCACGGACATATATATTTAATACAATAATTATATGTATGATTAGATAGAACTAAATATAAGTAAATTAATTGGATAATATTTTATAGATAAGCTTCCTAGAAGCTTCATAGACATGGTTTTAACTTTACATGTATTTGTAGTTAATTAATACGTTAGAAATTTTGTCAATAAATTAGCCACATGTCGCACATGTTGAAAGATTGTAGAACAAGCTGATTATGTGGCACACATATAAAAAACTTACTTTGCAAGTTAAGACATGTGTCTTATAATTTGGACATAAGTTGGAGGTTGTATAGAACATCACCATATAATCCTTAATTAGATAGTATATATGGAGGCAAGAATAAAGTCTTCTTCATTCTTATCAATGCTTTTTTAGTCTTTAGTCTTGTTTTAAGACTTTTTCGTCTTTTTTTCTTTAGCAATAGCCATTTTAGTTTAATATTATATCATCTTTGAGAGATTCTTCAATCTTTTTTGAGTGACACAATGTCACAAACATATACATGTAAACCAATAATTACTTATATGATTTAGATAATAGTATGTAAAAGTAAGTCAATTCCATAATATCTTCTATAGAAGCTTTATAGAAGCTTCATAGATACTACTTTGACTTTATAGGTGTCTTTAATTGACTTTTTAGGTTAAAAACGTGCTCAATAAGTTGGCCATGTGCCACACATGTTGATAGCTTAAAGAACAAGCTAACTATGTGGCCTATTCGTAGAAAACTTACCTTGTAAGTTAAGGCATGTGTCCTAGAAAGTCAATTTATATTAGAGTTCATATAGAACATCACCACATAGCTCTTAGTTAGATAGTATATATAGAGGCAAGAGTGAAGCCGTCTTCACTCTTGTCAATTCCTTTCTTACTTCTAGTCTAGATTTAAGAGTCTCTAATTTCCTTATCATTTAGCAATAGCCATTCCAGTTTCTTTTTAATATACATACTACTTTATTTCTATTTTGTCACTTTCATTTTGACATAGATTTTTCAAGTTTATGCATCTTCTTCTAGTTCATGTCCTTGACAGATTGACAAGAGTATATTTATAATATTAGAGCTTTTTCTTCTCTTAATTAAGAGTGGATATCTCTTTTTCTTGATAAGACATAAGCGTATTAGAAGTTGTGGATTACCCTTTTCTAAACTAATATTATTTTTAGTATCTTCTTTGTTCTCAAGTTTCCTCTTTTACTTATCTTCAGTAATATTAGACATTTATTTTCTAAGTATTATTATAGCAGAGCTTCTTGAAATGAAGAGTGCAGTGGCACAAATGCAAGAACAATTGTGAGCTCTAGATTATGTTCCAAGATTAAATTTTATATTTTTTCTCATATTTTGTAGTAATTGAACAAGTTAGATCATGATTTATATAAATAAAATCTAGTTTTATAGAATTTTAGGGTTATAACCTTTGATGGTACAAATCTTAACTTAATTCTTTAAATTAGATTAATTAGGACCAAAATCATAAACTTTAGAAAATTAGAATAACAAGTTAATTAGTTTTAGTAATTTAGAAATTATAGTCATTGCTATAAGAATAGATTGAGAGCTTATGAATTCACTTACAATCATCTCATATGATTTAGAGTGAATTAAAATCATAAGCTTCTAAAAAGGATTCTAGTGAAAATTAGCAAGGGCAATTTGAAGTTTTTCTCCTAATTCAACAAATTCAAGCAACAAGGTGGGTTTCCTAATTAATAGAAGCCTTCCAAATGCAATGGCGGCATTGGATTTGCCTCATGGAGTGAAGAAAACAAGATCAGCACCTCTCCACCAAATTACAAGTGGAGCCATGAAGATATCATTTTTGAAGGAATTTTCCAAAACACTTGGAGGTAAAAAGTTCATAAAAATTGCATATGAATGTGGATTGGAACAAATGAGTAGTCAACATTGGCATAAAAAGGTGTTTTAAAGACAATGGTGAAGTTAGATTTACAAAAAAAATGTTTTTTTGACCACTTACAAGAGCCATCACTCTTTCTGACGGCATTAGGTCTTGGATGAATGAAGGCCATAGATTTACATTAAGGATCTTAGAGATCAAGGGTGGAGATGTGGCCGCCCTCCCACAAGGCACCACTCAATAGTATAAGAGTGGCTTGGTTTTCCAAGCCCTCTCTCTCTCTCTTTTGATGAAAGGCAAAGCTATGCCAAATCTTGGCCTAAAACCCTAATTCCAATTTCATTTTGGATCCTAATGCTCATTGTGCACCTTGTGAATGTGTGATCATTGATTTTGTGTTGTGGGTGGTACTTATTGTGGTTTAGAAGGCACTCCCTTAGAATTAGTGGTTTCCAAATACTTCTATAGTTAAGTGGGTTTGAAGGGCCTCGGATTTTTCCCAATCATTTTTTGATCCTTTTACTTTTTTCAGTGAATTTTTTTGAGAAAATACCTCTTATTTTCAGCTTCCCAATGAGTTTAGGCTTGCTCAATTTGGAGCTAAAACAATTTTTTTGTGAATTTTTGAGTGCAGGGGGGTCGGCTGCCTTGGCAGTTTGGATCACCAGTCTTTGAAAAGACATTTCTCAGTGCCGTTTACTTAAAACATTCTGAAATTTTAAGAATAAGAGCACATACAAGTTTAGCTTCCAATGGCACAAGTTTGATTACGTTTGAAGTAGATCCAAATTTTTGGTGCATTTTGGAGTGAATGGTGGTAAGCTGCCGTGGCAGTCTCGGTTATTCAACTTTGAAGGAGCATTGAGCATGCCTCAGGTATTGGATTGCCACACAGTTTCTTGGAGCAGGAGCGTTTTCAAGTTAGGTTTTCAACCAAGCAAAATTCATCAGAATTGAAGCTGATACAAATGGTTGGCGAATTTTGGAGTAGAAGAGAGTTGCTGCCCTAAATTCTTGGTCGTTATCAAGGTGCCTTCTCTTCATCCCTCTTAGTTTTTGTTTTCTCTTTTATTTTTACAATAACTCGTAACTTCTATATGTAAAATTTGAAATTTAACTTTTAATTTTTACTTTTACTTTTTACTTTTTACTTTTTACTTAATTGGTAACTTTATTTTTATTTTCAATTTGTTAAAACTTAAACTTTTAATTTTTACTTAAGATTTTACCTTTATTATGGATTAATAATAATAACTTAATTAATTAATCTTACCACCAATTATTTAAGAAGTATTAATTTATATATTTTAAAAATAATAAAATAATAAAAAATAAAATAAAATAAAATAAAATAAAAATAATCTAATAAAAAATGAAAAATAAAGAAAAGAAATTATTTAAAACTAAATTATATAATTAGAATGAAAAGAAGGAATTATTTTGCATGAAGTGTAATGAATGAATTATCATTGTGAATGTGAATAATGATTAGAAGATTTGATTAATAA